ATATATATAATTTATAATTATTTATATATTATATTATATATAAATATATTATATATAAATATATAATATTTATATATATATATATATAATGGATTAAAAAATCATCCTTTATGTTCTTGAAGTTTGTGGTGGATTTTTTTTATTGTAACCCGAAATTGTAAAAAACAGACATTCGGTTTTTCTTTTTTACCACAGTTATGGAAAAATTCTAATTTTGAAAAATAATCAGTGAGTTATAGCTCAATATGTATGTCCCTGTGCTATTGCATATGTGCGTGTGTGTGTGTATGTGTGTGTGTGTGTGTGTGTGTGTAAAATGGGAGTAAGCATGAAGAGAGCAGGAGTGCTATTTGACTTTGTGAAGCAGCACAAGATTTTCTCTCTGTTTCTGGTGTCTTATAGAACAATAAAAGTCAAACCCAAAATGCAGGAAGTGTGGAAGTAGTTGAAATACTGCTAATATTTAGGCTATGACATAAAGTGGACAGCAGTTTCCCTTTAAATATATATTTTAATGGGCTCCTTTAATGAAACCTAGAAAAAGTAGAAGTCAAATGAGGTAGAGTGTAAATAATTATGACTTTGTACATAGTATCAGAGAAATGTATAAAACCTGACACCAAAGATTCTGAATTGGCAAAATATACATATGCATAATATGCATATAATATACCTATGTATGTATGTGTACATTTTTATATATGTGCGTTCATCTATATACATAGTTTATAGCCATAAAACAGCAATCCTGATTATAATAATTTATGTAATCCACTCTCAATTATGACTAATTTTCAGTAATCACATTAATTATTACACATTGTTAACAATTTAGCAGATTCACATGGTTGGTACATTTTATTTTACTACATTTATTATTACATTTACTACATTTATTACAGTAAATGTCTAGCTGTTATTCCTCTGTAAAGCTTCCTATGTACACATGTCGTGTGTATGAACAACTAATGAATTAAGACTATCTAGTCCAAACGCTCTTCACACTAACTGACCCTGTGAAAACCAACACATTACCCTCAATTCTGTCATTGGTGAAAGGGAGCTTTTACAGCTCCTCACTTCTTAGTTTTATTGTAAAGTTCAGTGAGTCAATACATACAAAGCGCTTCTTAGCATGACACTTTGCAAAAGTAAACTATACGATGTCATCATTATTCTCAAAAGCAATTTCTTTTTTCTGTTCTATTGACTCAAATGTTTGTACTTTTAGAATATTTAGAGGAGCATTAGACCAGTTTGATCAATTTTAATCCCAAATATTTTGGCAAAATGTCTTTCTTGTAACACATTTAGCCTTCAAACACATGAAAAATCATCCTTTACTTTCATGAATTTTGTTGGGGATATTTGTTTCTTTACTGTAACCTGAAATTGTATAAAACACAGTTACTCTGTTGTTCTTAATTACTAAGAACTATGAAAAAATTCTAATTTCCAAAAATAATCAGTGAGTTACAGCTCAAAGTTTATGTCCCTGTGTTATTTCCTCTGAATCACCATTGCTAATATTAGTTTCAATCATAATCGTAATGCTAATTCCTCATCATCTTAAAATTAAAAATAAATAAAATTATGGAACACTGAATGACTCTTGTATTGAGAATAATTTTTATGTCTAAATTTGCAAGAGTAGCTTTCATCGAGTTTCTGTTGCCCTTTTTATTTCATCCCTTATAATTTGTCTGGAACATGGACAAATGGACACCAAGTGTACTCTCATAATGTAGACAGTGACTTTTGATCCAAATGGTAGATAACCCATACTTTTGGCTAAATAGAAGACAGGAGCTACTCACAGCTAGCACCAAAGAGGTTTTGAAGGTGGTGGTGATGCTGACCAAACAAAGATGCCTTAATACAAATTGAAAAGCATTTAAGGTAGTACAGACACACACACACACACACACACACCAGACCACGGTAAGTTTAACTGCTGTGTAGCATCCTAAGCACACATAGGCATTGTTACATATATCACTGTAATGCGCTATCATCTGTTGATATCATCTTCTCCAATGTATTTAAACAATTATTGATTAATAATTTTATTTAAAAACCTTCTGGTATAGATTAAATGCTAGATGTCAGTCCGAATATGCCAAGACTGCTATTTTTTAAATGTTTTCTTCCCGCTTTTAAAAGTTTGCTGCCTAACAGTTAATTAATATGTTGTTATTTTAATGCCCTGGGAATGCTATCATCTTATTTGGAAGATGCTGCCTTCTATCAGCACCATTGCAGGATCAATGGAAGGGTATAACACATCCTCTGCAGACTTCACTTTCATGGGGCTGTTCAACAGAAAGGAAACCTCAGGTCTTCTTTTTGCCATCATCTCTGTCATCTTCTTCACTGCACTGTTGGCCAATGGGGTTATGATCTTCCTGATCCAAACAGATTTGCACCTTCATACTCCCATGTACTTCCTCCTCAGTCACCTTTCCTTGATTGACATGATGTACATTTCCACCATTGTGCCTAAGATGCTGGTTGATTATCTGCTGGATCAAAAGACCATTTCCTTTGTCGGGTGCACAACTCAACACTTCCTCTACCTTACCCTCGTGGGAGCTGAATTCTTCCTTCTGGGCCTCATGGCCTATGACCGCTATGTGGCCATCTGTAACCCTCTGAGATACCCCGTCCTCATGAGCCGCCGGGTCTGTTGGATGATTATAGCAGGTTCTTGGTTTGGGGGCTCTTTGGATGGCTTTCTCCTAACCCCCATCACCATGAGCTTTCCCTTCTGCAATTCCCGGGAGATTAACCATTTCTTCTGTGAGGCACCAGCAGTCCTGAAGCTGGCATGTGCAGACACAGCCCTCTACGAGACAGTGATGTATGTGTGCTGTGTTTTGATGCTGCTGATTCCTTTCTCTGTCGTCCTCGCTTCCTATGCCCGAATCCTGACCACAGTTCACCGCATGAGCTCCGTGGAGGGCAGGAAGAAGGCCTTCACCACTTGTTCCTCCCACGTGACTGTGGTGTCTTTGTTCTACGGGGCTGCCATGTACACCTACATGCTGCCACACTCTTACCACACACCAGTCCAGGACAAAGTTCTCTCTGTGTTTTACACCATTCTCACGCCCATGCTGAACCCCCTTATCTACAGCCTTAGAAACAAGGATGTCACTGGAGCTCTGAAGAGGGCACTGGGGAGGTTCAGGGGTCCTCAAAGGGTGTCAGGAAGTGTCTTTTGACAGTCAACTCCTTCCCATGCATATGGCAAATGGGAGGTTCTGTGGTCACTGTGACTATGCTTTCATTGGAAGATGAAGCAAAAAGGGAGGGAGTGATGTTATAACAATATTGGGTTTTGGTCTAGGGTTTCTGGTTCATAACTCCATAGTCATGTTACAATGTTGTGGTGCTTTAGGCTTCAGAATCAGTTCTCAAAAAACTGAATCTCTCTCTGTGAACTTCTCCTTCCCTCTTTTCACTTGCTTCTTTTTCTCCCCAAAGCAAGCCTTAGAAACTAAAAATATAATCCAATCTTTCCCCACTTTTGGCCATAAAGAAGCTATCTGACTACCTTGTCTGATGGTAGGTCATAAGACCTCTGTTTCAAAAGAGGTCCTCTTCTCATACCCTGGAGGAGGGAGTGCTGTAAAGAGAGGCCAAGAAGAATCTGATCAGACAGGGCTTCATGGCTGTCCCCACTCAGTCTATTGATATTAGGTCATACTCTCTCTGTTCAATCATATTTCTATACCTTTGTCCATGTTTCAATCATGACTATTCAATAAAGTCTCCATAAAAGGAGAAGCTATGGAAAACTTCTGGACAGCTAAACTCATGAAGGCATACAGTGGGGTGAATAAGAACCCACCCACATGCCTGGAGGGTGGCATGCCGCAACTCCACAGGGACAAACGCTCTTGTGCTCTTCCAGACCTCACCCTATGTGTCCTTTCATCTGGCTGTTTATATGTATCCTTCATAATTTCATTTATAATAAATGGTAAACATAAGTAAGTGTTTCCTTGAGTTCTGTGAGCCTCTATAGCTGATTAACTGAACCCAAGGAAGGGCTGTGGGATCCCCAATTTATAATCAGTTGGTCAAAAGCACAGGACAATTTGGGGCTTGTGATTGGCAATGGAAATGGAAGGCAGTAATATGGGATTGAGCCCTCACTCTGTGGGATCTGACACTATCTCCAGACAGAGTATGGGAGATGGTCATGGGAGCACAGCTTGAGGTAGAGCATTTGACTGTAGATACTGGCAGAATGCAATGGATTTGGAGGACATCCAATTGGTGTCCCCTGCAGAAATGATTGTTTGCTTTGTGTGTATCAAAAATCTCCCACTCATTTGGTCCCAGACATCTTCTGTGTTGATTGTTGTGTGGTATGGAAGCAGAGGAACAACAGTGTCAGTGTGCTTTCTTCTTCAAAGAGCATTCATCTTGGCAGAAAAAAATTAATTAATGTAAAAAACATGTCCTTTTGATCTCTTTTCTTTCTCTCCTCTTTTTTTCTTATATGTTCTCTTTCTCCTGCCATGTTCACATGTATTCTAAATAAATGCAAGAGAGTTCCATAAGCACTAAAATGTGTTTCCATTTGCAAGCTGGTAGAAAGAGTCATTGAACATAGTCTTCTTAAACAGGTAGTAATGTATTCACTACACTTGGGTGCTTATTACTTTCAGTAAAAGTATAATGTTATCTTCTGTTTGTTTACAACACATTGGTGAAAACTATTAATCAGATACTTAAAATCAATAGATGGAAGCAAAGGACATTGCCCAGAAAAGACATCATGAGAACACTGTATGTCTGAGGGCATGGGGGTTCTAAAACACTGGAGAAACATACAGGAGGAGGATGGGTTAGGAAGGCAGTAAAATGCTTTTCAAATATCTCATGAGATCATCAATGTTAAGTAATAGGATTAGGTCATAGTTAATATTCATGTTCCGTATTGATCCAGGAATTGAGGACAGAAAGCATGTGCCAATCCATAGTTAGTGTCCACTTATATAGTCATCAAAAGGGTGACTTTATCAAAATTATAATTCACCATGTGGGATTATCATCATAGAAACATTATCATACTCATAATCATAATCACATTCATCAATCTCTATCTAAAACTTAAAAATTTATGTGCCTTGGGTTCATCAACCTTTAACAAATTCATAACAAAAGAAGTAGAACTTGCTATGAGTTGCAGTTTACATGTAAGAACAGTGAGTTTCAGGGAAGTAGGAAAATTCTGTAGAATAATACTTTTAATTAGTGGACTAGATGGCAGGATTTCAAGAAATGAAATTGATAGAACACTGTATCCTTCAGATACAGCTTCCTCATTCACTCATTCATGCTTTAGAGCTTTGACCAAGACAAACAAAGCACTTGCACTCAATAAAATTACATTCCAGTGGGGAAAAGACAATGAACAAAAGCACAACAAGCAAGTGAGCAACAAAACGCATCTATCCACCACACTGTGTATAGCAACTGTGGCTAAAGCTAGACATACCCATATCGTGCACCCTTGCAGGTCCATTTTCGAGTGAATTCTTAATAGATGTATTATAGTTTGGATGTGGTTTATTTGTCCCCACCAAAACTTATGTTGAAATTTGATCACCAATATGGTGTTGTTGGGAGGTCAGGCCTAGTGGGAGATATTTGATTCATGGAGGCAGATCCTTCATGAATGGCTTGGTGCTATTCTTGTGTTAGGGAGTGAGTCCTCACTCTGGCAAGACTGAACTACCTCTTGGAGGAATTAATTCATTTATGGGAGAGAGGGTTGTTATAAAGCCAGTACATCCTTCAGGTTTTGCTCCCCCTTTGACCTCCATCATGTTTTGAACTAGCATTTTCTCTGCATCAGAATTCAAACAGATGCTGGCACCATGTTTCTCACACTTCTGAGCCTTCAGAATCAGTCAAAATAAGCCTCTTTGTGGGGTGTTGCAATAAAGATACTTCAAAATAAGGAAGTGACTTGGAACTGGGTACTGGGCTGAATTTGGAAGAGTTTGGGGAAAGGGCTAGAAAAAACTGTACTAGCCTGTAGAGTGCATTAGGATAATTCTTGTGAAGCTAAGGAGAAAATAAAAAGACAGGAGAAAGTTTGCAACTTTTTAGAGATTGTTTAAGTGGTTCTGGCCAAAATGCTGTTAGAAATATAGACAAGTAGAGGCCATTCTCATGCGTTCTCAGAAGGAAATAAGGAGTGTTTATCTGGAAACTGGAGCAAACCTCAACCCAGTTACACAGTTGCAAAGAACTTGGGCCCGTGATGTCCATGGCCTAGGGCTTTATGGGAGACTGAATGGAAGAGTAATGGACTACTATATCTGGTGGAAGAAATTTCTAAGCATCAAAGGTCTTGTGCTGCTGTGTAGCCACTTCTAATTGCATAAGGTTAACTGCTAGGAAAAGGGGAAATAGAGTGTAAATTTTTGGAAAATTTGCAGCCCTATGTGGTAAAGAATTAGTGTTTTCAGGAGAGGAAACCAGAGGTATAGCCAAGAGACCCTTTGCTAGGGATTAGCTTGGATAAAAAGGAACCAGGTGCTAATAGTTAAAACAAAGGGACCAGAGTCTCAAAGGCATTTCAGAGCTCTTCCATGACATCCTTCCCTTTGCAGTCTCAAGGCCTGAGATGGCAAAATTATTTTGGAAGACTAGCCTGAGCCTGGTGCCCTGTGTTGCCTCTGAAGCCTGCTTCAAACATCTAGCAGTGGTTCAAAAAGCCCCATATCTGTCTCTGGCTACTCCAGTGAGCCCAAATGGTAAGTCATGGCTTCGACATGGTAAGTCTGCAGGTGCCCAAAATAAAAGAGCCATGGAGATATTACATGTGCTACCTATATTTCACAGGACAGTTAGGAACTCCTGAAAGTCCAGTCAGAAACATGCCATAGGGTGGAGCCACTGGCAAGAGCCTCTACTAAATAAGGCAATGCGTAATGGAAATGTGAGCCCAGAGCTGCCACGGTGAGTCCCTACTGGGGCAGGCAATGATTGATGGAACCATGGGGCAGGATGGGAGAGGAGCCCCAGAATGTTACTGCCACCAGCAGCATGCAACCTCAGCCTGGAGAAGAGGCAGGCATAGAACTTCAATTCATGAGAGCAGACATGTGCCTAACCCAGCAGTTCCATAGGGGCAGAGCTGCCTGAGGCCTTGGGAGCCCACTTCTTGCACAGTGTGCCCTGGTTCATGGAGTCAAATAAGATTTTTCTGGAACTTTAAGATTTAATGTGTGCCCTGCTGGGTTTCAGACTTGCGTGGGGTCTGTCATGTATTTATTTAGTCAAATTGTCCTTTTTGGAATGGAAACTTTTACCAAATGTCTGTCCCACCATTGTTATTTGGAGGTAAATAACTTGTTTTGGTTTCACAGGCTCATAGTTGGAAGGAGCTTGCCTGAGTCTCAGATGAGACTTTGTACTTTAAACTTTTGAATTGGTGCTAGAATAAGTCAGGACTTTGGGGACTACAGGGATGGAATGATTGTATTTTTGTATGTCAGAAAGCCATTCGTTTTTGGAGTAAGGGGCACAATGCTATAGTTTGGATATGATTTGTCTCTACCAAAATACATGTTGAAATTTGATTCCCAATGTGGTGGGTTGAGGGTGGTGTTGGAAGATATTTGGGTCATGGGGGCAGATTCCTCATGGATACCTCTGTGCCATTCTTGTGGTAGTAAGTGGGTTCTCACTCTGGCAAGACTGGTTTAGTTCTTGCAAAAATAGATTAGTTCCTGGGAGAGTGGGTGGTTACAAAGCCAGATGTCTGTTTGGTTTTTGCCTCTCTCTTCACACATATCTGCTTCACCCTGGGACCTCTACCATGTTTTGACCCAGCACATGGCCCTTACCGGAAACTGAGCAGATACTGGCACCATTTTTCTTGTATATCCTGCAGAAATGTGAGCTAAATAAATCTCTTTTTATTTAAATTACTCAGCTTCAGATATGCTGTTATAATAACACAAATGGATAACATGTATGCATAATGTTACCAAAAGACATATGGTAACAAAAAAATATGGAAGCAATTAAAAGCCCACTGACGGTAAAATGGATAAATTGTGACATATTCATAAAATAATAATAGATGTTCTAATACTACTTGCAAGCATAATGTTAAACCAATGAAGCAAGCCACAAAAGAGTACCTTCATATAAAGCACAGATCCAGCAAAGCTATCCTATACTGTTGGAGGGCTGGTGGCTGGAAGGATGCATGAGCATATTCGTGGAGGTGCTAATGAATTTCTGTTTATTAATGTCAATAAATAAAGCATATATCTATATAGATATATAGATATATGCTATTTTGTCAGCAGCATGTATATATTTTTTCTTGAATAAATACATATATATATATATATGTGTGTGTGTGTGTGTGTTATTGACAAAAAAGAAAAGCCAAACTTTCTAAAATATTTAAAGAGGTTTATTCTGAGCCAGATATGAGTAATCACAGCCTGTAACACAGCCTCAAGAAATTCCGAGAACAATCATTCCCAATGTGGTCAGGTTACAGCTTGGTTTTATACACTTTCAAGGAGACAGAAGTTGTAGTCAATGATATAAATCAATACATGGAAGATGTATATTGGTTTGGCCCAGAAATGTGTGACTTTCTGTAGTGATGACTTATAGGTCATAGGTGGATTCAAAGATTTTATGATTAGCAGTTGATTGAAAGAGTTAAGCCTTGTCTAAAGACTTACAAAATCAGTAGAAAGAAATGCTTCAGTTATGGCAAGATTGTTTTCAAAACCGTGATTCTTGTTATATAGACAAAGCCTCTAAG